AACCATCCCAAAGGATCCAATCCCTTGGTAATCTCCTTAAATTCCATGGGTTTAACTGTCATCTCTATGCAAGTAACTCCTAGACTCCATATATCCCCAGTCTCTCCTCTGAGTTTCTGTCCCTTATTACCAAATTGACTATGGCACATTTCAAACTAGATGTACTGGCAACGTCATAACCCAACATGTCTAAAAATGAACTTATTGACTTTTTCCTTGAACTCTCATCTCATCTAGTCTTCCTTATTTCTGCCTCAGTCACACACAACTCTCTTGGTCTACCAGATTCCTAATCTTGGCATTATCCTGGTCTTCTCACTTTCCCTTGCCCCACATATCCACTCAGTTGCTAAAGCTTGCCATTTCTACTTTTATGACATCTTTTGCATTTGAACCTTTCTTTCTATTCATATAGCTATTCTTGGTTCATGTATTTTTCATCTCTAACTAAGATTATTGCAATGACTTTCTTTTGGGTGTCCTTGCTTCTCAAATCTCTCACCATTCTTCTCCATTCTCTAGATGGTATGTACATGATTTTCCTTAATTTCAGATCTGACAGGTGACTCTCTTACTCAGTCATCTCCAATTCTTCTCTTTTGCCTCCAGATTAAAATATGAACTCCTCTCTTTAGCTTTTATAACCCAACACAACCTTCCCCACAACTATTTTGTGTCAGGCATGGTGTTAAGAGGTAGGGATACAAAGAAAGGTAAAAGATCATCCCTAAACTTGAGGAACTTTCAGTCTAATGGAGAAGATAACATACAAACAAATATGTACAAGTGGACTACATAAAAGATAAACTGCTTCCTAAGAAAAAAATCCTTTAGACCAGATGGATTCACAAATAAATTCTACCAAATATTTAAAGAATAATTAATTCCAATAGCATATAAACTATTTGGAAAAATAGGAAAATAGTTCTATCCGATTCATTTTATGATGCAAATATGATGCTGAACCTAAATAAGGAAGAGCAAAAACAGAGAAAGAAAACTATAGAGCAATTTTCCTAGTGAATATTGATACAAAACTTTTAAATAAAATACTAGCGAAGAGATTATAGCAATATATCACAAAGATCATACACTATGACCTGGTGGGATTTATACCAGGAATGCAGTGCTGTTTCAATATTGTGAAAACTATCAGCATGAGTGACCATATCAATAACGAAATCAATAGAAATCATATGATTATCTCAACAGATGAAGAAAAAGCTTTTGACAAAATATAACAATCATTCCTATTAAAAATATTAGAAAGCATAGGAATAAATGGAGCTTTCCTTAAAATGATTAAGTAGCTCTATGTAAAATCATCGGCAAGCATTATCTGTAATGGGGATAAGCTAGAAGCCTTACCATTAAGATCAGGGGTGAAGCAAGGATGACTATTATCAACATTCTTATTTAATGTTGGACTAGAAATGCTAGCCATAGCAATAAGAGAAGAGAAAGAAATTGAAGGAATTTGAATAGGCAATGAGGAAACAAAACTACCATTCTTTGCGGTAGAGATGATGGCATACTTGGAGAATCCTAGAGAATCAATCAAAAATCTAGCTGAAATAATTAATGACTTTAGCAAAATTGTAAGATATAAAAAATCCACATAAACAATCAACATTTCTTTATATTAACAACAAAGTCCAACAGCAAGAGATAGAAAGAGAAATTCCATTTAAAATAGCTGTAGATAATATAAAATTCTTGGCAGTCTGCCCACCAAGGCAAAACTAGAAACTATATGAACACAATTATAAAACACTTTTCACACATGTAAAGTCAGATCTAAACAACTGGAGAAATATTAATTGCTCATGGGTAGGCTAAGCCAGTATAATAAAAATGACAATTCTACCTCAATTAATTTTTTCATTGCCATACCAATGAAACTACAAAAACATTATTTTATAGACCTAGAAGAAACAATAAAATCCACCTGGATAAACAAAAGGTCAAGAATGTCAAGTGAACCAATGAAAAAATATGTGAAGGAAGGTAGCTTAGTCATATTAGATCTCAAACTGTATTACAAAGTGGTAATTATCAAAATAAGGTGGTACTGGCTAAGAAATAAGAGTGATGGATCTGTGAAATAGATTAGGTATATAGTATACAGTAGTAAATGATCATATTAATCTAGTGTTTGATAAACTTGAAAATTCAAGCTTTGGGAACAATAACTTGCTATTTGACGAAAACTTCTAGGAAAATTGGAAAGAAGTTTGGCAGAAACTAGCATAGTCCAACATCTCACATCATATACCACATAAGGTCAAAATGGGTACATGATTTAGATGAAAAGGGCATAGACACAAGCAAAGTAGGGGAGCATGGAATAGTTTACCTGTCAGATCTATGGATAAGGGAAGAATTTATGACCAAACAAGAGTTCATTACAAGATGTAAAATGGATAAATTTGATTACATTAAATTGAAAAGGTTGTGCACAAACAAAACCAATGTAGCCAAGATTAGAAGGAAAGCAGAAAACTGGGGCAGGGGGATTTTACAGTAAATTTCTCTGTTAAAGATCTCATTTCTCAATTATATAGAGAACTACATCAAATTTATTTGAATGCAGATCATTCCCCAATTGATAAATGGTCAAAGGATATGAACAGGCAGTTTTCAGAAGAAGAAATCGAAGTTATCTCTAATCGTATGAAAAAATGCTATAAGTCACTATTGATTAGAAAAATGCAAATTAAAACATCTCTGAGGTACCACCTTATACCTATAAGATTGTCTAATGTGACAGAAAAAGAAAATGACAAATGTTAAAGGGGATATGGGGAAATTGGGACACTAACACATTGTCAATGGAGTTGTGAACTGATCCAACCATTCTGGAGAACAATTTGGAACTATGCCCAAAAGGTTCTAAAACTGTGAATACTATTTGATCCAGCAATAGCACTACTAGGTCTGTATCCCAAAGAGATCAAAGGAAAAGGAAAAGGACCTATATGTACAAAAATATTAATAACAGCTCTTTTCATGGTGGCAAAGAATTGGAAACTGAGGGGATGCCCATCAATTTGGGATGGCTGAACAAGTTGTGGTATATGAATGTAATGGAATACTATTGTGCTATAAGAATTGATGAGCAGGCAGACTTCAGAAAAGCCTGGAAAGACATATGTGAAATGCTGTAAAAAGTAAAATGAGCAGAACCAGGAGAACTGTACATAGTAATAGCAATACTCTATAATGATCAACTGTGAACAACTTAGCTATTCTCAGCAATATAATGATCCAAGACAATTCTGAAGGACTCATGATGAAAAATGCTACCCATCGCCAGAGAAAGAACTGATGAAGTGAATGCAGATTGAAGTATACTATTCTGTACTTTATATTTTGTGGGGTTTTTTTGGGGGGGGTGTCTGTGTTTTCTTTCACAAGATGACTTATATGGAAATATGTTTCATATGACTGCTCATGTACAACCTATATCAAATTGCTTGCTTTCTTAATGAGGGGGAAGGGATGGAGAGAGAGAGAAAATTTGGAACTCTAATTAAAAAAAAAACCAAATGTTAAAAAAAATTACATGTAATTGGAAAAAAAAATTGGAATGTAAAAAAAAGATCAATTGTAGATAATTAACAGAGGGAAAGGACTAGAAGAGGAAATCGGAAGGGCTTCCTATAGAAAATGGGATTTTAGCTGACACTTGAAGGAAGCTAGGGGAGCCAGGAGGTACAAATGAGGAAGGAGAGCTTTCCAGGCATGGGGGACAGCCATCGAAAGCTCTCAGAGTTGAGAAATGGAGTATTTTGTTTGAAGAATAACAAAGAGGCCAGTTTCACTGAATCAAAGAATTCTAGTGTAGGTGAGAGTATACGGTGTAAAAATATTGGAAACATTGGGGTGGAGGGGGAGTACATTGTGAAGGGCTTTAAATGCCAAACAGGATTTTATATTAATCTTGGAGGTGATAAGGAGTCAACTGTTTGTAGAGTAGAGGGGTGACATATTTGCGTCTGCATTTTAGGAAAATCATTTTGGCAGATGAACGGAGGATAGATTGGAGTGAGGCAAGACTTGTGGCAAGGAGACCAATTAGCAGACTATTAAAATACCGGAATGTAAGCTCCCTGAATTCAGCAACCACTTTTTATACTATCTTGGTCTCTGTAGAACTTTGCGCATGGTAGACACTGGAACACTTTTGGGATTGGATTCCATTATATACAATTTTGTGACAGACTTCAATTCAATTAAAATATTTATTAAGCATCTACTGTGTGCAAAACCCTGAACTGAGCACTGGGGAGACAAAGATGGATATGCCACAGATGCTGCTTTCAAGGAGGAAATTACAATTTTATGGAAAGAGGGTGGGTCAGAAATCATCAATCAATCCACAAGAAGAGTCAGTACATGAATAACTGTGATACAAAGGAAAGTTGAGGGAAGGAGTCTAAGTGCTAAAAGACATTTCAGAAGGGAGAGATTGCTGACACCTGGGATGGTCAAAGAACCTGTCCCCCTATTGGGGTAGCATCTGAGAAGAGCCTTAAAGGAAGAGAGGAAGGGACTTCAATGGATAGGGAGTTATAATATCTTGGTCAGCAATCCTCTCAAAAACCTTTGGAAATAGTGTGCTCTTTTATGTTACGAAATAAAACCTTAAACTGATCAACAGACAAATACGGTCATCTTAACATGGCCTACATATGTGACAACTGAACAGGAGGTGTTGAAAAAACAGGGAAATTCTGCTGCTTTTTTCCCTGAAACAGACACTTTAGGTGACTGTCACTAATATCTTTTTTTTTTCCCCAAACAGGCGAAAAAAAAAAAAACCAGAGAATGAGCAGACTGGATTCTTGTGAAATGTGTATGTACTTTTTAAATGTCACCTTTGGGTAAATCAACCCACCAATGTATTATTAATAAAATTTAGCAACTGTCAAATCATTTCTTGGTGCAGGGAGGCTTGGCTGTGTCACTGCTTAGGAGGAAGAGACAGATGGTCTTACCTTTCAGTTCCTGAGTCCACAGCCGAGAGAGGAGGTAACTGGGAGGAGGGGTTGTGGGGGCTCCCCTGTACATTATGTCCCGGAGAAGGGTGACTGACGGGATGTGGGGGAGGCCCAGCCCCAGCAGCTGTTCCACTCCGGCTTGAGTGAGTGCTGGAGAAAATCGTGGCTGAAATAAAAAAGAAAGACAGGGAATTCAAGCTAAGCCACAAATAAAATAAAGCACGCGTGCACACACACACTCATACACACACACACACACACACACACACACACACACACACACCCATAAATGGGGGATAAAAGGAAGAAAGCAAAGGTTTCGTGTGTAGATGATTGACAAGAGACATGCTGGGGTAGGAGGTGGGAGGCTGATTCTTATGGTCCAATTCTTCATTTGCTGAATATACACAGGTTTTGTTTTAACTCATTGGAGTGGGGTCCACCTTTTAATAATCAGGCAGTTGACTGGCTAATACTTTCCTCATTGCCACTGCACCAAAGAGCTCCTCAGCCTGCACTATGCTGGGAGCTGCCTTTCCCTACAAACGCCTTGTCTGACTAGGACGGAATTAGCTGAGCTTCTAATGTTTCCACTAGTGATCCTCTATGCTATCACCTTTCAGTAGTTCAAGCATGACAATAAGTTAGTGCATTTGTTTCTGATTCCTCTTACCATTTCATCAGTGGTGAGAATTAGGGGGCAGGTTGGGGGCGTGGCACAGCCCCAGTTGTATTCCATTTCTCACTATGGTTCAGATGAACTTGCTGGGACTCAGACCCTGTAACTAGAGAGATTCTCCTGATGGCGATTCCAAGCAATGGGCACTAGCTTTTATCAATTCATGGAATGTTAGAGCTGGAGGGGGCACTATAGGTCACCTAGCCCAAAGCTTCTTGACTGGTTTTGGGGTTAGAGATCGCTTTTCAGTCTGGTGAAGACTATGGACTTCTATTCAGAATAATGCTTTTAAAAGCATAAGACAAAATACTTGGAATTATAAAGGAAACCAATTATAGTGAAAAAAATTAACGTTTTCCACTCACGAACCCCTGGGAGATCGATGAACCCCAGATTAAGATCCCTTGATCTAGTCCTAGTTCCTAGTACCAATCAATCAGTCAATAAGCATTGTGTAAGTACCTAGTATGTGCTGTGTACTGAGCTATGCTCTGGAGATACAAAGGCAAAAATAGAACAGTTTATACTCACTGGTAGCATAAATTCTGTTGGGAGAGACAATGTTCATATATCTAAGTATATAGGAAATATCTATAAAGTAAATATGCGGTCATTTGTTTGGGGCTAAGGCACTCACAACTTATTGACTGACTGACATGCTAATCTTCTATAGTGGAAATTACCCTAAGGCTTGAAACTTGGTCCTGGCCAACTGTTACAATGCTACAGAAAACATCACTGCTTGTCACTTTCAGAGCCTGTCAGGGAGGAGTCTGTTAATGTTCCAAAGGTACCCAGCAGAGATCTCACTATCCTGAGACAAGGGTATGCTGGAATTATCATGAACCAGCTCAGGAGAGCTGATTGTTAAATTTTCAGTGTGAACATTTGCATCTCAAAAATCAGCAAACTCACCAAATCAGGGCTTGATTTGTTGTTTTATTGACTGTCTAGACATGAGTAGGTGTTAATATTAATAATGTAAATTAAAGTTAAAAGAGAGTCCTATGAACATTTCACCCTGCTTGTTAAACATTTATCAGCACACCCATGATGTCTTCCATCATCACTAAGAGATCTCTGTCTTGCCTCCAAAGTGTGTTCTGTGGTTCAGTAGAAAGAGAGATAGACTTAGAGTTTTAATACCTAAGTTTTAATCCTATTTCTGCCACTTCTTGTGTAAGGATATTTAATTACTCTAGGTCTCAGTTTCTTTATTTAAGGGATTGAATTAAGGAGTTGAACCCAGTAACCACTACCATCTTCTTTCAGCTGAAAACCTATGATTCTATGGCTTGGATTATGAATTGGACCATGCTCTTTCTTTCTAGGAGAGTTTCCTACCTTCAATCCTTTCAATTATTTCTAATCATAGACTCTATCATGGCCTTATCCTCCCAATTCTCAAGGAATCTAACATCTACTGATACACAGATCTGTGAATGACTTGGGGAAAATAGAGTTTTCCCATAGTGTGCTGATGAGATAGTGGTACACTTCCTTCTCTTAGGAACCACAGTCTCTGTATTTCTGCTATTAGTTTTCTGGTGACCTGGGACCTAAATGCCACTGCTGCTGCCACCATACTTAAAGTCCTGTCTTTATGACTTCTGTCTCCCAGTTCCCACTTTCAAACTCTATGGGGTAATGTGCTACCTCATGGGGTCACCTGCCAGCTCAAATATGCTATAGTTTTCTCCACTGTAAAAAGGGGATAATAAGAGCCTCTACCTCACAGAGTTGTTGTAAGCATCAAATGAGAACATACCTGTAAAAAATGCTTAGCACAGCGACTGGCACATAGTAGGCACTTAATTATTTTCTCCCTTCCCTACCACATGACACAACTATACATACAGACTGTCCTTAATGATGCCACCATTATCCCTGCACCATATTGAACTTGTATCAGGCAGAGTTACGTCTAATTATTTCTTTGCTGATAGTTAATATGATGCTGGATGGCCTCCTTATTTCTGTTCTTTAAGAGATCATTCAAGTGCTCATAGGATTCAGAGCTAAAAGAGGCTTTTGAAAATGTCCAATTTAGTTAGAGATGAAGAAACTGAGATAGGGATTGAGAAGTTAAATGACTGCCCAAGGTCATGTAGCTAGTAAAGAAGCTAATCTGGGTTTTGAATCCAGGCCTTCCACTCCATATTTACTCTATGTACTTTTTCCTCTCTACTAGGCTGCCTCTGACTACACATGCACTTAAACACTGTGTATATGATTACATATGTATATACATATTTGTGTGTATATAGCTATCTAACACACATATATGCACATACGGGTAAAAAATCAAGTTTGGGATAAGAATGAGTGGCATTTTAACAAAGACAGCATATTTTTTGAGGAAATAGACAAGTGCTCAGGGGGATGAGGGACCTAAGTCCGTGTGCAGTTTCCTCTCCACCCCCCCCACTCCCACCCCCAGGTGCAGTTGATAGTAACTTGCTACTGAATCATGTGGAAGAGGTAGATATATGCTTGTACTTGGCCTGAGAAGGTAAAAAAAATATTGTGAAATCCAGTTCCTTTGTGGAGGAAGGGAGATTTTGAATTTTTCAGAACCTAGTGTTTTAGTAGGAGAAGGAAGATTTCCTGGACAATGACAAATACGAGAACTTTCTTTTGGGTTATTCCAGGTTAGAATGTAGGAGAATTAGATCTTTGAGAAAATTTAGGGGATTATGAGGGGGGAAAGGTTGTGGGAACTCTATTGATAAATTAGTACTCCTCCCAAATCCAGACACAAAACAGACAGACACCATCCCTTGGCAAGAAACTGCTTAATACAAATTCCTGTTATGTACTCTTAATTAGGCAACAGCTCTGTCACTTAAAAGGCCCCATTAAAATGTAGCTACTGCCTTTCCTCTCAAAATCTACTGATACTAGGATAACTTAATTCCATAGATTTATTGCTGCCTTTTATAGATCCAACTTTGTCCTGTACACCAATGCCTATTTCCACCCTTCCACAGCAATGGCACCACCACCACTACCAACACCATCACCACCCCTCAACCCAACTTCAAAAGATTCTGAAGCAGGCTGAAAAGTGCTTACCAGCAAGAAAAGGTAACATAGAGCTTCTGTTCTGTGCGTCAGCTTCAATAAAAGTTGCACATTTGCAAACACACGAGAGTCGCCTTATGAATCACTACCCTCATTTATTGCTATACTCGCTTAGGGAGCCAGAACTCGGCTTTTATTCCAAATAATAATTTCACCCAGGGGAACAGGCTGTTTGGAATAATTGTGGCAGTAGCATGAATATTGGTATCCGTAAGGCTGGGGCTTGGTCTCATATACTAATAGAAGAATAAGAGGTCACAAAGACACTTTGTAAATATTTTCCCCCTTATGTACACAGAAACTGCGAACTCTACTAGATATTTAAAAAATGGTAATAACTGAATATACCCCTCACTTATTAGTCTTGGGGCAAATGGGTAATGAAAGGAAAGGAAAGACTTTGCCATTAGAGTTTACAGACTAGCAAATAAAAATCAGCCTGACTCCTCCCTAGACATCTCCAGAAAAGGAAGAGAAGATGGTGACCTCAGACTGGGGGAAGGCAGAGAGATGGGCAGGGTTGGTCGGGGGAGGGAGAAGAAGGGTGACACGGAACAGCATATTTTGCTTTGGGAAATTAAATGTGGTAGATGGTTTGGTGCATTTTGTGGCTGTAACCCTATCGTCTACTAGGTCCCACCCCTATCAGAACTACCTATTGGTGCTACTGGTACAATTTGAGGAGTCCTGAAGAAGGCTCCCCTGCTCCAAAACACCTCTGTTACCCAAGTATCACAATATCAAACTCTTAGGGGTACTCAGAGGAAATTTTCAGGCACAGACTAGATGAAGTTATAGAAGATAAATGATACCATAAAAGGAATTCTTTGTCAGGTATGGGCTGAACTTTTTGGCCACTGAAGTTCTTCCAATTCTATGATTCTCCATACATAGAAGCAGGGAGGTGATGCTGGGTAACAAAAGGCCATTCTAATGAAGCACAGTCTCTAGAAATTTCTACCTACCCGGAAAGCTTTCAAATATGGGCCTACTTTTGGACTGTATGCCTACAGAGGCTATTGAACTAGACCATCATCTTCTCCCCTCATCTCACAACACCTTGATATCATCTCAACCACTTCTTCCTTCAATCTCGTCTCTCTCTCTCTTCTCTAACAGGTGGCCTTATTATCATTCCCTCTCTCTCTAGTCATCAATCTCTCCCTATCTAGTACTTCTTCCTTGATGTCCATAAACATGCTCAAATTTCTCTAAGCCTTAAAAAAAATACTCTCAGTAGAGCCTACCATCCACACCATCTCTCATTTTATACCTCTCTTTCCTTTATTAGCCAAGCCCCTTTAAAAAAGCCATCTACACATTATGTCTCTGCTTTTTTTCTCCTCTCTCTTTTCTTACCCTCTGAAAGCTGGCTCCTCACCTCTCATCATTTAATTGAAACT